ATTTTGAGAACTTTTCAAGGCGTGGTTCACTGCTTCTGTTCCTTGACTAGATAAAACCTTGCTGTTTACAAATGCCAGTAATGCATTCCCCCCATTTTTGTGATGTACCTGGGTTATGAATTTCTGTTCTATTTCAACATTTTACTTGTTGATGGAACAGGGACACGAGCTTTAGCCATTACAGCTTCCTGCCTGAAACAAGATCCAGTTCTCAGAGGAATGCTTGCTCCTACATTCTTCCCCCAAATCTAGCTTAATCCTGTACCCCATTTGTTCCCCACTCCGTCTTTGACATTCCTTACCAGGTGTGAAAGCTCTCAGAAAAAAAAAACATGTAAAACCACCTCAGCTCTGCCCCTGACCTCCTCTTCCAGCTATCCCCTAGCCCCTAACAACTATAAAAGATGAAGCCTACCGGGGGCCTTGCTCACTCTGAATGCATGCTGGTAGTTAGCCACTCCTATGAATTTATTTCCCTTAAATAAATTTATTTCCTGTGTCCTGTTGGCTTCCTCTTTTTCCTTACTATTAAATTTAATCTGATCTATCCTGTTATCCCCTCTATTCAGCCCTTTCTTAAGTAATTTATTGTGAATCTCCAATAAAATCAGTTTGTCTTTCCTTGACAAATTACTGCTAATTATTGTAGCAACATTATTTTTATATCCTTATTAGATTAAAATCTTCATGTACAATAATTATGCTAATTATCAAACATGTCCAACACTATAATGTTTTAATTCATACAAGTTATGGATGTTTTTGGAGAAAGATCAAACTTTATTTAGTTGGAGTATGGCTGAGGAGAGCCTTGTCCCGGGCTTGATCTACATGAGATACTAAAAAAAATTTTTTTAATACACATCCTTTTCTGCATTGATGGGCTGGTACATAGTGTTCAGCGAATATTTATCAGATTACCAGCAGGAAGAAAAGTTAAAAATGGTTCTTCTCCTATATATGAAATTGTGGCATTTCTAAAGTGTATGGGGAGGAAGCTAATACAGCATTTTCATGGTGTAATTAAGGCAACGAAAGCTTTATAATTTAGGAAAGAAGGAAGACATTCCATTGAAGCAAAGGGGAGATTATCATATAAACATTTCTGTTGCTCTGTGTACCTGAAGATCGGGCTGCAATGAGACATCTTATAGGACTGTACATGTTTGCGGTGGGAGACTCAGAGTTCAAAGCATCCCTGAACTTGTGTGATTTCAACCAGAAGTTTTGTTTTGTTTTTAATGATAGCAGCAAGATAATTGGTCTGAGGATCCCCAACATGCGTTTTTTTCTTTTTTTAAGGATAATAACAGGTAATTTGAAAGATGATACGCATCATCACTATTGGAGTGCTCGGAGTGGTTCATTTAGTTGTAAAATAGAGCTATGATGTGTACAATTAGTTTGATTTCATAGAAGCCTTTAGTCACTGTACACTTTATTCAAAGCTTCACAGCTGGTGGAGGACAGAGAATTCACAGCCAATATTTGAATACTGTCTTACAATGCCAGAATCCAGGACCAATGCCAAACGCATTGGGCATGGCAGATACAATCTTAATATTTCTTCAAAGAAACATAATGAAAAAATACTTTAGTTGAGGAACATCAACCAATGTATCTAAATGACTGTCACTTTAAATCTGGCCATGCTTGAATAATAGGTCATTCATTCATTCAAATAATAAGTCATTGGCATAAAAAGTACTTGATGTACTTAAAATCAATCACAAAGATTGATGATGCTTCATGTCAACGTCATGTTACAGCTGTCTTCATGACTGCCAAGTATATTATTACAACATGACTATTTTGTCAATTGTAGCTTATGAGCCATGAGAATGACTTAGTTACATCTCTTGACTCCTTAAAAAATAAATCCTTTCCTAGGTGTAGAATTTACTATATAATTTAAAATTCTAGATTGCAGCTAATATGTAGGGAATAGGACAAGGAGTAAAGTTTGAAAAGGATACCAACCACAGTAGTTTCCTATTGTGCCAAACAAAAGCACAGCATTCTATTTTTCTCCCAAATTACCTTGCAAGCAAAATCACGGAAATAGCACATTTATCAGAAATGAAATCCAAATATCAGATGCGAAATTTTCCACAAGAAGGGACTAGTCCAGCTGGGGCACTAACATTCAGACCTCAATATCTATACCTTTTCCATCACATCACACTTACCTCCATATCAGCCAAGTCTGGAATTCGATAGGACTAGAACTATTTTAGCATATTGTCCCTAAACTGTTTCTTCATCTTTAAAATATATTATCTAACACTCAAATTGCACACAGACCATACTGATAAAAACACTTAACATGATGTCTGGCACAATATGAGGTTAAATTACTGCTTTACTATAAGTAAATTATGATAACAGCCAGAAAATGAACTTAATAGGATGTCTCTGAGCCTGAATTTTTTTTTTCACTCCCCAAGGTTGTCATGAGTATAATAATTCCACTATTGAAATCTGAATTTACAGAATCAGTTGCAAAGAATATTCATGCACATGAAATGGAAGTATTTAAAACTTGAAAAGTTGGTTAGAGGGGAGACACTTTGTTATTCACCATAAAAAATACTGATGGTGAATAACAAAGTATCATGAAGGATTATCCAACTGGCCAAGAAAGCAGCTGCCAGAAGATGCAGAAATGTAAGGGAAATTGAAACTCTAAGGAGTGGATAATGAATATCGTAATTGAAAACTCTAAAGCAAAAACAAATCAGGGAAGAGGGGCTCAGAATTAGGATTCATTTACACTTTCCTTTTAGATTTGCTTCTTCATAACACCTTAAAAGTAGCAGACATTATAAAATACATTACCTAATAATATTTTCTAGATTGGAGTGTTTCTATAATCTTACCTCTTTCGAATAGTCTTTCCCCCTTCCCCCTGATCATCAGCTTGAAGAGTTGTTTCTGTGTCAACAGAATTGTTAGTCCCATGATGGGTCATATCCGACGGGTTTCTATAATTAGGAACTGGTTACAACATGCGTTACCATAGGCATGTTGCCTTAACTCAGTTGGATGTTAGTAAGATCGAGCAAAAATAGCCCAGGGTAAGATCATTTTTTTTTTTTCGATGTTAAGAAAATAAAGTTGTATTATCGTACAAAGTTTTGGGAAGAACATTTTATTGCTAAGCATATCCTTGAACGAAAATACAAATATGAAATAAAAGAGAAAAGGCAAAAGAAAAAGCAATAACATCACAACATCATAAAATAACTTCCTTTAGGAGCTGCTAATAAAATAACAGGAATATGATAAAAGCTCACATACAGGATGCACATGTTCCCATAAAATTGTCCAAATAGAAACTTACACTAAAGGAATAGAACAGTTTTTTTTTTTTTTTTTTTTTTTACTCAAAGAAGAAATGTAAAGAAATAAAGCAGGAAATCAGTTCACAAGACCTCAAGACTCCAAGAACAGCAATCTTTCACGGACATCGAGATATAATCAACTTCATAAAGGCTGGGCCATGTAGGTTATCTAAAATCGTGCTTTGATATCGTTTTATAGTCCTGTCTGTTTTAATGATAACGCAAATATTGAAAAAAAAAGCCTCTTTAACACATTGAAATATCAGTTATGAGGAACATCTCTTCCATACACATTAGGAACTGCAACCACCGTGTAGATCGTGCCTGTCTGCCCATGTATTGAATATTGAAGTTTTTTTTTTCTCAGAGTCAAATATTCATGCAACTTACAAAGACCAGCGAGAGTAGATTTCTACATCTAATCAGCTGATTTTTCATCTGTACAAAAGAAACTGTATCTGACCCTTCAGAGGACTCACTTTTCTGAGTGAATGCTTGTCTTGGTTTGTCTCTTGCTTTTTAGGTTGCTATGGCCACACAACCGGTTTATTTTTCTGTACATCGTTTCCTCTTTACACACACAAAAAAAGAAAAAGAAATAGACAACTGGAATACAAACCGAACATACTGAAATAAAGATAGAAAAAGGAAATAACAGTTCTTAAAGCAGTATATACAGAGGTGGCTAAGGAGTTATACCAGCAAAAATGTAGTAAAATATGTAAACAAAATCTGAGATTTTTTTTTTTCATTAAATTCTCTGACAGTTAACTGTGACAAACGAAAACTCACACTTTCTTCACATTTTCAGGTTTGCTTTTTTGTTGCTGTGTCATTTTCTTTGAAAACCACATTCTCATTCCACTTCAAGACTTTAACAGATTTCCTGTGTCAGTCATCCCATCAAACATACCATGATAAATATATCTATATATATTTATTTATATATATATTATACTATTAAATTCCTTTTGTGTGTGTGTGTCACAGCAGCTTTATTCATTTATTTATTTGTTTTTAAAAAAGATGTGCAACGGGAGAAGTGAGCACATGGAAGTCGGGGAGTTCTCTGTATCAGGCTACAAAATTAAACCACAATGAAGACCATTGAGCCGTCGGGGGTGGGGAAAGAACGATGTATTCTGTACTCTGTCGTGAGGTGTTCGGCTTGTGTGACCTTTGCGGTCCCACCACAGGTTGAACTCCCCTATTGTCTGATTTTCCACAGACCTTGGGATTGTCTAGTTCAAATCGTTATTATTTGCATGCACTTTGATCAGTGACAGATCCAGCCCACCCCCTTCCCCTTGCTAGGAAAGGCTGTATTAAATTGTGGGGGCGCTCCCCTTGAATACAATTTGGCTGGCTTCATGGAAGGGAATAGGATTAAGCCAATAGCTTTGAGAAGAACCAGCCCTAAAGCCCTCCTGTTGAGGGTCTGGGTGGCAAATTGTGGCATTAGATCCTGTTGAGGGGGGGGACAGCTTCTTAAATCAATAGTGTCATCCAACCCATGGTTTATCCTATGTGTTCAACAAAGCATTTTACAGGAAACAAACAACAGATTATAGAGACATCACAGCCTGATGTGTAGAGTGAATGTCACGGTAGCTTTTAAGTTCATATGGCAAATAGTCTCTCTGAGTTGCTTTTTTTTTTTTTCATTTTTACTTACATCCAGTCATTCAAAAAAAAAAATAAATAAACGAACAAACCCAAAAGCCATTTTTTCCCCTCAGATCTTGAAAAGTTACACGCACACTAGCCAGAACCAGATAAAGGTTGTGTATAGTTTTTTTTTTTTTTAATTTCATTTTGTTGGAATTTTGTTATTTTTTTTAAATTTTTTAAATTGTTTATTTTTACATAATGAAACAGAAAGAGAAAACATGGTTACAGTCAAGCTTCACGAACATTACAGGCCCACTCGGAGTTATGGGACAAGTGAGCCAGGAAGTCTTGTTCCTTTTGCAAAAGGTCCTGGTGAGAAGGAAGCTTCCCAGTCTGGGAAAGCAGAGGAGCCATCGGCTTGCTCCAGGGCGCTAAGTGTGTGCTTTGTGTCACAGCAGGACAGAATGAGCTGTCTCCCGGCTGCTGCTGCACCTGCGCAGCCCTGGCTGCACTGTAGAGAGACATCTGTGAGTGCGTCCCGTGAAGAAATGGATTTTTCCCCACCAAAGTGATGGTATACCCCGTCTCCTAGTTAGCACAGTTGTGACATCTGTAAAAACTCCTGGTCAGAGTCCTTCGCTTGTTGAGAGAGAACGCCGCCGTCGGGGAGGCAGCGCGCCTCGGTGTCGTGACGGTTACACGTAATACTCCTTGTCCTTGTTTTTCTGTTTCTTGTGGCCGCTCTTGGAGCTCTGCTGCTTCTCCTTCATGAGCGTGCCGTTGCTCTGGGCCGAGTTGCTGATGTAGTTCCGCGTCTCATCCACTTGATAGGACCCCTCGTCCCTGTTCCTGTACTTGTACATGGCGTACAGGAGGATGAGGATGCAGAGGGCGGCAGCAGCCACAATGCCGACGACCATCCCTGTTGTACTGCTCGACTCCCGGATCACCTCTGAGGCCCCCGGAACCCGTCTGATTCCCGGCTCCGTGGGGTTTGCTGTGGGCACATTACGGAACATGGGGGAAGTAATTAGTGGGTTCTTCAGTTTGGTGCTGTCTAGCTCATAGGCAGTGGGCAACGGAAGCAAGACTACGTCAGGCTGGGGTTTGAGATCACGGTTATTCATTTTGCCAGCTGGCAATTTGGGCACCATCCCAGACGAGGAGGAAGCTGTGAAGCGGATCAGCTCAGGGGATAAAGGTGTGGTAGTAGTCCTACTAGTCTCGGAGACTTTGTTAGATCTAAAGTCCTTGGATTCCCACTTGGGCGCATGCGCTTTGTAGCCACCTTCGAAGATTGAAGTGGAAAGACTCTTATCTGTTACCAAGGAGAAGGTGGTGTAAAAATCTTCATCATCAGTAGGGGGCAGGTTAGAGTCAAAGGTTTCCCCTGAGCCATACCCAGATATCACCAAGCCATCATCATCATCACAACCATCGCTGCCTTGGTCCGACAGGCAAGGTAACCCCGCCTCAGAGGTCATGGAGAGGGAATCTTTGGTGGTCTCAATAATGGTGAGGAGGGGGCGAAAGGTAGAGGGAAGAGTAATGGAAGGTGCACGAGTAGCAATAGGAGGGGTAGCTAAGGGGTCTTCTACAAGAAGAGGAATAACTAATTCACCTCCTGGGATTGAAAAGAAAAGAGAAGAACAGAATTAGTACAGTCATCCACAATGGTTCTCAGGCACTTTCCATGAAGGCGATTCTTAGGCTACAGCTCAGAAACCATCATCCCGACAGCCTAGACCCATGGACGGTTACTTTGGGAGTAGCCTCATCGAGGCAGGCTAAGGGGTTGGTTAGAAGCCTCTTGCCATCCGAAGCAGACATCCTTAAATCTGGGGTTTTTGAAGATACTCTCAAGTAATTACTTAGGTAGAATGCAAATATGTTCCCAGGATCAGCTTGGGGGATGATGACAGGTGATGGTGGTGTTGTACATTGGCTGGCTAGCAAACTGGTGTGGGTACATTCTGACATGTGTTAACTCAGGAGTTTAGTAATGGCCTTGTAGCATCTCTTTTTTCTTGGGAGTTTACTTAGCTTGCTCCCAGTGCATGGTCTTTATCACTGATAACAAGATCAAGGATTTAAATGGCATGCCGTCTTCATTCACTATAAACTGCCAGACATTATGCAGAGTTAAAATGTTGCTCTAACAAACTCATTTTGACTATTTCCAGAAAGTTCCCTCTGACTAAATGACAGCTGGGCTCATGTTAGTGTATTATGTTTATCAATTGTTTTTTTTTTTCTTGCTGTATGAAGTATATGCTGAGGTGGAAGGTCCATTTTAATCATACTCAATTTAGATGGTTACTGTACATTTTAAATTAAAGATGAGTGTTTTAACATAGATATTTTTGTAATGACAGTGGCAAGAATGTCTGTTTCCTCACCAACTCTCATCATTGCCTTGCAAATATGTGGAGAGTTAGGTCAGAAAGAAAGTTCAGGGTAGTTTGCTAGATCACCACTCCTTGCTAAGCAGAGATGGTCCAGCAACTCAGTGTTGGATGTTGCTCCCCTCACTGGCTAAGACTATGATCTCTGATGTCAGCTCGGTGTCCAGGACCTCGGCTTTTCACAATGCCTTTTGCCATGATGCATCATGAAAAGTCACAGCCTTCTTATTACCTTTGTTTCATAAAAGTTTATTCTGACAAATAACCTTTTGCAGAGAGCCTGTTCTGCTTCCCCAGTTGGTCAGCAAGTTGAGATTTGGCTTTGTTGTTGAATGTTTTGTTGTTGTTGCCGTTGTTGTCTGCTGGGTCTGAAAGCGCTCCGATGGCTCAGTGTCCAGTGCATTGCACCTTGGGTGATGACTGAGGTAATGGCTGGTGTCTGAGTTAATACTGTTTTTCATGTTTCATGCTATAGGGTTTACAAATTAGAACTCTCATTAATTAGAGCAGTTGTAGGAGCTGTAGAGTATCAGATTTCAGGCAAGTGAAGGACTTGCATGGGTACATTTAGTTCCAAATGAAGCTCACTGGGGGACAGAAGGGTCATTATTATAAATGGAAATCGTAGTGAAAAATACGTGGAATTATTTAGATAACTGTAATGCTAACATCTGCCTAGGACAAGTGTGTGAGTTGGGATATATAATTGATTTTGATATAAACTTTGGCTTCAAACAGTTGTAGCGTACTCTCCGCCCATCTTATCTAAGTTTCCAGTCCTGTAAATTTACCCATAGACTATAAAAAAATGGAAATCATTGTCCATTTTTTTTCCTTATTTTGTTCTTATGTAAAATCTTATATAGCATTTGCATTGTCAGGTAATTTAAGGAAATCAGAAATGATTAAAAGTATATAAGAGGATTTGCATAGGTTATATACAAACCCTGTGCTGCTGGAGCTGTGCGTCTGGAACAGCCACTGACCTTTCTATCCACAAGGAACCTAGGCCCCTCCCTTCTGAAAGACGATGCCAAGAAGCCCAAAAGGGCTATCAGTTGAGCAGGATCTCTTTAACCATGAGGTCCTTCCTTTGTGGGAGGCCACTGAAGACATTTCTTTGTGTGATTCAAAGTAATCACCCCAGGAAATGTTGGAGCACTGGTACTGTCTTTTTCGCCTCCCAAATATGATGGCACCTGTGAGCATATGTGTGTCTGTGCTTATGAAAGTATTCATGGACTGGTACTGTCTTTTTCGCCTCCCAAATATGATGGCACCTGTGAGCATATGTGTGTCTGTGCTTACGAAAGTATTCATGGCACACACATATCTAAAGTGATAAAGGGTTCTTGGCAGAGTGAGACCAAACCTGTAATCCATCAAAACCCTCATTTCCACTGTCATCCGGAGACTTTTTCATCAGTTTGGAATAACTAGCCACATTCTGGAAAGTTAACATTTGAAAATGATGAATATGTACCCTTCTGGCAGGACTGCTTTTCTTTAGAGAGATCAGGAGGGATAGAAAAGGTCTATTTTAGTCTTGAACGCAGCCCTGCTTTAAAAAATTTTTTTCTTTTTTTGCTGTGTGAGTGTATTTATAGATATATAATTCATACCTCTAGGGCTGATATCTGGCCAAGGGGCTCTCTGCCTTCAAAAAAGACAGTGTATTAAACATTTAATAGGACTCCTCTGAACTGTGTGAATGTTGTAGGTGAGAGTGAATGCAGCAGGTCACCTAAAAAAGCCAAGGGGACCAGCAGGAAGTTTCCATCTGGCTTCAACCTCTGCTTCTCTGGAGACAGTCTGAGATCTCACCAAAATACCAACAAAACAATGAGGCTGAAAAGCGAGGCCTCGGGCAGGGGACACTGTGCTCTGGTTCCTTGAGTTTCTCTTACATATCCCTGGCCTTGATACCTCATCTGTTAATATCGAGCAATTTGGTGCCCTAATAATTATAGACTTGGGGCACATAAATATCCCGAAGCTTATCAACAATAAATTTCTCTTCATCCACCATCAGACAAATTTTGTCTAAGACAAACATGGCAAGTACCTGGGAAGAACATAGAGAAAAGTCAAGTATTGCATAAGAGTTTTGCCTAACTCTTATTATGGGAGTTTCTGCATAGGGTGTTTCTATTGCCCTACCTACTTATGAGCTAATGATGCATATAAAATGGGTTTGATTTTAAAAAGTTTGTTGCAGTTTAGTTTTACCCACTGCAGTACTAGGAGTGATTCAGATAACTCTGACCAGAAATAGACATTACAAGTAAGACAAGCCACCAACTGGAGATTTGTCATTTGCTGGGTAAGAGTTTTCTTCTGAAATCCAACTCCAAGTGGCAGAAGTGGTATGCACTAGTCATAGGACTTAGCTCATACTTCTTAATGCCCATTTCCAACCACTAGTGTCAATATGAAGCTAAATAATACACATTAAGTCTTTAACATATACTTGGTACTAATATTTCTAGAAGTATCTGACTTCAAAACACTTGAATTATTGGGCCCTTTCTTCTGGTTTTTTTTTCCTATGCCAATCACTGCGTTTCTTTCATGTGTTGAGTTTGAAAGATGATTTCATGAAAAGAGCTTCATTTAGAAAACAAATGCATTAAATTGACCTGGGTGTTTTTTTTCCCACAGAAATTAAACTTTCTCATTTAATTAGGTAAAATGACATTCCATTTAGGAAACTCTTAGTTTTATTTCTCTAATGTTACCCAACACGTTTCAAACCCTGCATATTTTGTAAACTGAGGTAGAGTGTCCATTTACTGAAAATGTTGATTTGGAATCAGTCATTATTCAGTTAGCAACTGGATTTTTTTTAACAGCTTCAAGTAACATTGATATCAATAATTAATGTAAAAAGAGTGACTTATTTAATAAATGTATACTTCTGACCCAGTTTAGGTTTCTTGAAGTGTGCAAGGTGTGACAAGCTCACATATCTTTCAAGTTGAGGCATGTCATGTTAGAATTATGCCCAATGGTGGTACCGTTAAAAGCTTTATAAAGCTTACCTGATTAAATCCTTGAGGAAAATGGCAGCTATTGATGCAAAGGGAACAGACACAAAGCCAATGTGTTGTTTTCTTTGTGTTGTGCCAGTCATTTCTGTATACTGGAGGGCACCGATATTTGAAAACAACACTTAGATCACCTGGGGTTTCTGGTGTGTGTATTCTCAGTAAAACTGACTGTGTATCCTGTGGTGCTGCTGATGGTACAATCCTGGGTAACCACACTACCACAGTCACTTGAGAGTACCTTATTTCCCCTTGGCTAAAGGAAAAATAAAATAAAAGCACTAATGTCCCTGAATGCTTTCTAAAGAATTAAATAAGAAAGCAATTACCACTGATAATATTTGGAGCTAAGTCAACTGATTTTCTTCTGGGGAACATGCCTTCCACCGGCTGTAACCAGGTCACTATTTCACTGTAGAGTCTAACAACACTTTCAAGGCTTTAAAATTCAGAGCAAAGGAAATCAGGCAGAGGCCAGGTTTTCTTTGGATAAAGGACTATTTATCCACCCCTTTCCACCAACAGTAAATTCACATAGATTATTTGGAGCAATTCAGCACACAATACAACAGTGAAAATTAAGCAAATGAAAGCCAAAGAAACAAAATAATATGCTCTTCAAAATCATATAGTAGGAAATAAAATGAACTTGAAAGCTAAAATAAGCAAGGGAGGGGAGTCAGTAGAAATACAAATAGGGACAGAAAGGCATTCGCAATATAAGAACAGGTAGAAAAGTAAGAGCAAATTAACAAAAGGCGATTGTTAGTAAGCAAAGAAAGAAATCATTTCCATATAGGCAAAGTAATTTAAAAGAATTACCGTATTGATTTTTAGTCAACTTACATCAACAAATTGCCCGCATG